TCTAGGTAGTGTTTGAGGTTTTGGGGCTTTAGGATGCTATCCTTGGGGGCTTCTTATCATACCTAAAGTATAATATACCCCCGAGATATTCAGGGCTTAGGGTTAAGGATGCTATGTTTGAATATACCCAAGAGCCTATTCTAATGACTGAGGCCTCTATAGTATGCAGACTGGGGACCCTAAGGTTTATAAGGTTATGGTTCAGGGTCTAGGGGTTTGGGTTTTATTCTTCAGCGTTTAGGGCTTGTTGCAAACTCGAAGCCGGTTCCATGGAGTAGCATATGGTGTAGGCATCTGCAAGAGTGGGCACCGCAAGACTCAAGCGAGCAGCGTCGGCCATGGAAAAACAGGACAGGACAGGGCTCGTCAATGTGGTGGGAAATCATGGGAAATCAGTGACTTTGAAGCGCCTGACTGTTCAGCATCTAGAGCCAGACAAGTATTTATCCACTTTTTCTTGTGGCATACTGTAGGGCTTGAATATGTTCTTTAGCAGTTTGTTTTTGTTTGAGGGGGGGTGGGGGCGGGCCTTATTATTGTAACTATTATTGCAGTATGCTACAACCCAAAACCCTGCTGTGACTATTAATGCCTTAATCTGACTTTCAACCAGCAGTGCATGTCTGATGGTTTGAGTTGCAATCAGCCTGTCAGGACTGAGGGCTTGGGGTCAGTCGCCTCCCGCACTGGGAGGTTCATGGGCTGTTGTAAGTGGGGTTATAGGGGTACTTTAAAGGGATCTATAGGGATTCTATGAGGGTATAGGGTTTAGTGTTCATTGTAGTTGTAAGTGGGGTTATAAGTCCCCTGGTATGGGTTATAAGTACAGTTATCTTGCTAGCTTATAACCCTACTTACAACTACCCATGAACCTCCAAGCAAGCCCCAATCCAACCCCCAAACCCTTGAATCCTTCCCGATGAACAATACATAGCCCCGTTTTTTGCCTGCAAGCCCAACTCCCTTCTACCCAGACCAGATTCGCCAGAGGCGGACCTCCCGAGCTGGTCTTGGCTAAAAAAGACAAGCTGTGTTGCGACGATTGCGATATTCGGTAGTATCTGTTCGATCTCTTGGATTCGGGGTGACAGCTGTAGTGCCTCAGAGGGCCTTGCCAACGTTGTGTCAATCCGGCGCTGAATCTTCAGATGAGGGGTACTTTATATCTTGGCCTTTCTAAGGACATTACCGATGCATGATGCAGTCTGCCTTGTGTGAGTCGAACACCTCAGGACTTTCAGATCGAAGGATTAGGGCTTAGGGGTTTACGGTTTGGGGGTTTAGGGTCTTGTGCCTTCTGTTCATCGCCAGATCCCACGATCGGAGACGACGTGGGTGGACCAGCGCGTGCGTGTCGTGTCCGGGCCCCGATACCATATGCATGTGGTTGAATGACTGGCAAGGCTGTTTCTCATGGTTCTCGAACACCATTGCAGTGTTTACACATCTCGTCCGCCCAAATCCCGTTCAAGTATCTGGGCCCATTTTTTGACATCAGAGCCATCGGAGGGTGTTGCTACCCAACAAAACCGGTGTATACGCGATGCCGACAGTGGCAGTCACGAAGACGACCACTGCTGCTGCTGGTTCGCCTACTACTGCGACGACGACGACTACTACTACTGCTACCCTACTTCGACGGCGACGGCCAGTAGCCGTACTTTTTTGCTATTCAATCTTGGGCATGGCATGAACAGCGTTCTGCTCGGAAAGAACTTCCGATGATTATAATAGTTGCAGCTGCAGGTGGCCAACTTAATATAAGAGCCACTAGCAAGACTACTCTTTAGGTCGTTGTGGTATAGACATGTAGAACATAGACGAAAGCCCTATCCGGTTTACGCCCCAAAATTTCTGTCCTTCACGAATGTCTTGCGTTATCAGGTTTGTTTGTGGGTCTGTGGGGTGCCTGGGCCTTGGTATTGTAAGAGGGTTGGAATGGGATTTAGCTTGGGGTCGGCGAGCCTACCGTTCTAATGTAACCCTTAGTAGCTGAGTTGGTAACCTTTCACATTTTCGGGTTCATATAAACGTAGCATATCTGAAAAGGGTAAGCTTGTTTTGGGCTAGGATACTCAGCCCCTATAAGACCCTCACATTTAGCAGTCATAACTTGCTATTTTGTAGGGTTCGCAGTTAAGGTTCAGAGGCAACGGCTTTTCATTACGAAGATATCCATGACAACACTCTGCTTTTGGAAGTACGTGAGCTTCACTATACAAGGTTGTCTAGTGTCCGATGCCCGCAGCTTTGGAATCAACACTGAGGACTCCGAGGACAGCTATCTTTGGAGTGGAACCAAAACCCTGTAAGAGTAGACCCTAAACCCCTAAACCTCTAAACTCCTGAACCCCTAACCTCCTAAACCCTGAACCCCTGAGCCCTAGACCAAGGCGCCTTGGATTCCCAACAACCCTGAGGCCTGAAACGGTGGAGCCCTCTGGGTCCATATGTACTACCATTATGGACTTAGGTCCCAAAAGACCATGCTTACTATGGTCTGGGGGGGCCTACTTCCATGAAAGTAGTATGTCTGGACCCTCTGGGGCCCTCAAGGAATATATCCTGTAGCTCAACAGCAGAAACGGTGCTGGGTTCGATATTTCGCGGACCCCTAAACCGAATAATCATTGCAGCCAAGCCTGAATTCACTGCTCTTGGATTCAGGCGCCGTGTACCCCTAACCCCACACAAAAGAAAGACTAAACCCTAAACCCGGAAGCATAAACCGTAGACCCCTCAACCCTAAACCTTATAAAGCCTATATGCCTACTTGGAGCTTCATGGGTACTTATATCGAGGGTTATAACTAGGATAACTACCCTACTCCCTAAACCCTATAGCACTCCCAAAGCAACCCTTAAAAGGAACCCTAAACCCCTATGACACCGCTTGTAACTACCCATGAACCTCCAAGCAAAGCACCAAAAACACAAGACCCGGCGAGGTCCGACTCCCTACGTGGGCTTGTCGAAGCCTGGCGCACGCTACCAGCGGACCACTTTTTTGCGTGTGTTGAGTTTGTGGTTTTTTGGGCTTTCGATTTCGGGCGATGGGGTTTAGAGTTGTTTAGGAGTTTCGGATAAAGGGCTTGGGTTCTGGGGTTTGCGAGTCGTGGATTCGGGCTTAGTTCAGGAATATGGTTTAGAATTTGAGGGGGTTCCAATGTAGGCTGTGGGTGTGTTGGAGTTGTTGTTGCTTGTTATTGCTGTGGTTCCCTCCTCCTGTTGGATGGTCTTTGGTTCTTAGCCCTAAACCCTGAAACGCCAGGGCTTTGGGTTCGAATATTTCGTAGGCAGTACAGGCGTATAGGACCGTTCGATGGGCATGGAGGGTTGAGGGGTCTGCACCCTAAGGCCCCATAGTAGTTCCTTTTCATATTTAGAATCCTAGAAGGTAAGCACAAAAACAATTGGGGGGCCTATGGGCATAGTTTGCTTATCAATACCATCTTTTGGGGTTCCCCGCTCTACTTAACGTACAATGACCAAAAAAGCTGGGTTGACTGTTGTGCAAGCCCCTAGAGGGTGCAGAGGTTTAGTCCAGTCTGGGCTTAGCCGGAGCCGCCACGACAATTATACTCGATATATACTTCCCAGTTCTTGACCGTCATCGTGGGTAAAGATGCTATACTAACGTGCTTGGGTCGTGTCAGCCTTGAAAACTTATAGAGGTATCAACAAATCCCAAAACACCAACAATAATGCAAACAAAGAAAGGTGACCCGATTTTTCAACCCCAGCGACAGATTTCAGCACAGCGCAGGACCGCGGAATAACGGAGCCGCTGGGAGCCCGGCATCAAATCCTCAAGTTGTACGCAAGACACAAGAAAGCACCAAACGTCGAAAGGCCTAAATCCTAAATCCCGAGAATCTAAGGGAGAAATCTTGCCCAACCCTTATACCCCCCGCATCAAGACTCTCCAGCAGCCCAGGAACTGTATTCAGCACGTAACTGTCAAATCTATCATGGTTTATGAACTCTTACAGTGATTGCATACGGTTTGGTGTATCAGTTTGCGGTCTAGGGCGTGGGTTGGCATTTTGATGTCTTGGGGGGGTTGTACCATGGGGACGAGATAGGTTTTCCAGCTAAGATGTTTTGTCCAAGCGTTCATCCGGCATGCTTCCAGAGATGATAAAGGCTTGTGGTTCGAGATGAGGACCCCTAAACCTTGAACCTAAAACCCTGAACCCTCAACCCTTCAAGGGAAAATGGCTCGGGTCTTCACGGTAGGGTTTGGGTCAGGGTTAATTTAGGGTTTATAGGGTTTACGGCTTTGTCTTCCTGGGATTCTGAGGTCCCGATTGGACGAGCCCGTAGGTGCGGCATGATGTTGAGGTTCTCACTTAGCCCCAACATGGTCCATCCCGAAACCCAGAGCCTATCGTAGCTCTGCTGTTTCGGCTTCCAGTCCCGGCCATCGCGCAACACGGTCCCCGACCCCAACTTTAAGGCGCATCAGCCAAAGCGTCTTCGTCTCTGGGAGATGTTTTTTCTTTTTTGAAGGTCGTGGCTGCCCCCATTCTGTGAAGACACACATTTAAGTAAGTTGAGGCTCTAGAGGCACAGGAAGCCAGTGCTGTTTGCCTCAACCCTATAGGCGGCAGCGCAATCATGATAAGGAGCCCTAAGGTAAAAGCCAGAAAGTTGGAATATGATTATCCTAACCCTTCTATGGTAAATTATAGGGTATCCTACCATGAAACCATATTACAACTTTCTGGAGTTTCCTATAGGCCCTTCAGACCGTGGGGCCAGAGCCTGAAGCCTAAACTCCCCCCAGAAGCGGGGTGTTAAGGCGCTCGCAAGCGGTTGTTAAAGGGGTTTCACAAAGGCTCTGAGGACTCATATACATATATATATATATATATATCTATATATATATATATATATATCTATATATATATATATATGTATATAAGGCCTAGAACCCAAAGACCATACTACATAAGGCTTTTGGGCTATTTTGAGCCTGAGGGTTTTGGTGTCTGAGCCATGGCTGTACCCGAGTTCCACGTCGTTGGCGATGCACTCGTTGACGTGATCGCCAGTGGCCTGGCGCGAATACCATCTTGGGATGGCGACGCAGATGCCGCCAGCATCGACGTGAAAGTAGGCAGGGTTAGCTCAAATCATGAACTTGAACCCGGAGACAATAAACCCCTAAACCATCCTAAACTCCAGACTCGAGACCCTGTATCCTAAATATTTCGAAACACCAAACCCTAAAGCCTTTGATAGTGGCGGAAACCGACCCCATCCAGGTCACCAGTAAAGCCAAACTCAAAGTCTCAAGGCCAAAGCCCCGAAGCTTGACAACCTAAGAAATATCAAAGCAAACCTTTAAAAAGCTCCAAGAAGCCTGAATAATTACGTGCATTTTCGTTTGGCCTTCCTTGTATTCCGTTTGGTATGGTTGGCCTATGTTGGCCTACTTTAACTGCTGAGGCCTCCAACTTATCCGTCTATGGAAGCCCAATAGGTTTTGTTACTAACCCTTAAACCATATCATGCTGAAACCCGGTTTGTTTCAGACATGAAAGAAGCTTATCGGAGTTCTGGTTTTCGGGAGTTCTACATACCTCAAGCCATAAGCCCTTAAGTGACCCTAAACCCTAAACGTTGGACTAAACCCTAGACCTTAAACTCTAAACCCTAAACCCTAAACCCTAAACCCCTAAACCCTAAACCCTAAACCCCTAAACCCCTAAACCTCTAAACCCTAAACCTCTAACCCCTAACCCCCTAAACCCCTAAACCCCTAAACCCCCTAAACCCCAGATCTCCCTGCAGCTGTGCAGGCGGGAGCGCGCTCAACACGGCCGTGCACCTGGCCTCTCTCTTGCAGGGGCGCTGCCCTGTGTCATTTTATGCGGCCCGGCTTCATGTCCCATCCCTTGGCTTTGGGCTTTCAGCTGAAACCCGATACCACTTCAAAGTTGGAAACACCTAAATCCTGCGTTGCATGGTCTGTAGGGCTCAAATCACTAACATATGAGTCCTTAGCCTTGGAGCCTTTTGGTAAGAAGCTGCCGTGCTAAGGCTTGCGTCGGCAACGACGCCTTTGGGAAGATGTTGGAGTCCCATTTACGGCACCTCGGACGAGAAAAGGCTAGAGGCTTTAGGGGTGAAGGTTATGGGATTGGAGATTGGGGGTTCGGGGGTTCAAGGGTTTATGGTTGGGGCTAGGGTGTGATGAAAGCTTGAGGAGTTCGGGTTTTAGTTACAGGCATATCGGATCAGCGAGGGTGTTGGGCAATGATGGGTTTCAGTACACACACTAGCAGTCACTAGCACCCGCGTTCAGCCTTACAAATAAACTGTGCACTGTAATTGCTAGGCACGACAGCATAGCAGCACAGCTACTGTTCTGTAGTCCGTTCAGATACTCTAAATGTATGCAATTACACGGCAAAGCAGAGAGAGCTAGGTATATGTGTACATTCTTATAAACAAATAATATATACGTATATATATATATATATATATATATATATACATATACACACACATAATTGGACGTATACCACTTGCTCTAGCCAGGGCTTTGGTTTTCTGAATGTACATGGCACCTGGCCATGATGGCTCATAGGCGGCTAATGTTACTATAGTTGTAGGGTCGATCACCTTTTAACCTTTTTGGGTGCGAAAATCCCAAGAGAACCCCAAAGGTTAACCTTAGTCTCCTGAGTCTCCTGTAGGATACTGGACAACTGAGCAAAAGCAAGAGGAGCCCTTCAAGCTTATAATATAGGCACCTCAATACTTGATGTAGGATTTCGCCGTTGCTATACCTTCTTACGAAGATGCCGAGGGCGGGGATAGTTCCCTACACCTTAAACCCTAAGCCCTGAGTCCTACACGAGTGCTAGACAGGTCTAGGCTGAAGGTTTCAATTAAGTGCAGCCCGCAGTCCCTGCTGCCCGAAGTTCGGTGTAGTATTTAAGGTGTTGGGAGTCAGGGTTTGGGAGTGCATCGGGCTTCAGGGTTACAGGTTTTGGGTTTAGTGCACCGAGTGCAGGGACATTCATGAAGTCAACCAAGAAGTTGTCATGTCAAATGGGAGAGCACGGCGAAAGAACCCTAAGCCTTAAGCTTGGTTCTAGCCATTAGTATAGAACCTGAATATCACAAAAAACATTCCGTAGGCTTCAATGTTATGTTATGACTACATTATACTATTATACCAAATACCCCCCAGGCCCTGTCCTAATTATCGATATGAAAGGACCCGCACGCACGCATTGACTTGAAAGTATTGTTTGCGGCTCTGTTATGTAAACTGTGAATGCAGGAGGACCAGCAAAGGACCTTTGCAGCTAGCTGCCACACTCACATCTTATTCATATACATGTCACAGATTGTAGCCGCTTAACACCCCTGCAATTAGAGCAAAGCCCAGTTTCTCAAGTCGCAGGGCAGCTTCAGTCGAAAGCCACGTGGCTGTGTCCTCGAGCTTGTGCACTGGCTCTTGCTTGGCACCTGGACTCATCTTTTGGATTATTCGGATCTATACATAAATCCAAGACCTACAGATTCCGCGGGTCATATACTACGGAAAGCTACGTTCCTTCGGGCCCATGTATGTATGCTGGAGTGTTGTGTTTCTCCCGGTTAATTTAAGGTGCAGAGCAAGTCCACTCAATAATGTTTACATCGGCTTCACCTTGGCATATCGGCCCCTCACTGCCCTACTTTTATTGGGACTAGGATTTGGGGTGTTGGGATTAGGGTTTAGGGCTTAGCCTACTCCAATTATCAAATATAGTCACTTCCTATGTCCGAGACCCTGTACCCTGAGGCATAGACCCCAGACTCCAAATCCTACCCTAAGGCTCCAAGAGGATCTTGGGCTTGCTGGGCGAGGGTTTCGGCTTTGGGGTCTGGGATCTCACTACAGCACAAGGGTCCAGGAGCCTTAAGGTAGATCCCAAACCCTGCATCCGATTCATCCTGAATCCTAGAGCCTAAAGCGTGCATCATGTAGATCCGAAATGCATACCCGGGACCCCATCCCCAAGGCCGTAAATCGCAAGTCCGGAATGCCAACTGCCAAGCCCATCCAACCCTAAACCAAGACAACTCCAGGATTATTGCTTTGAAGCTCACTGTTATGATTCTGGTTATGATTATCACTATCATTGATCATTGTCATTATCAGTATGTCTTAAACAAACCTTAGGTCGCTTATTGTGAGCCTGTTTGCCACTGCTATGGTTCTTGATGAATCGCCAATCGGCAGTTTTGCTGCTACGATTAGGACAGAGAACCCGAGCCCTAGATCCTAAACCCTAAACCGTCCAGACCTCCGGGCTTGCGGAAGCCTCGCAGACCTTTCGGGCGATGCAGAAAAGGATCTAAAACAAAAACCTAAACCCTAGACCCTAAACCCTGAAACCTAAGCCTTGAAACCTTAAGCTCGCACACCTAAACCCTCAACCCGCCTGAAACCCTAGCGAAGTGAACTATAAGGGCCTAAGTATTTACTTATACTATTTCGGGGGGCTCCTTATTATAAGTATAGTATACTGGGCCCAAAACCATATTCAAAGTACTGAGGCCCCTATATTATAGTTTAAAAGGAACCGTTAAAGGAACCCTTATTCAAATTATGAAGGCCCCTATAGTACCCCCCCCAGAGGTGCTTTCAGGGGATCCCGGTCGTGCCTTCATCACAGCCGCCGGCGCTGCTGCAGCGCTTGGAATAGCCGAGCTAAAGCCTCTCGCGGAGGACCCTTAGGGTTTTTGTGGTTTAGGGTTTTAGGGTTTAGGGTTTTAGGCTGTAGGGTTTAGGGTTTCGGGTTTAGGGGCCGTTCCCTAAAATTCAAAACAGGCCAAAAGCCTTGTATAGTATGGTCTTTGGGCCCAAAAGCCTTAGTATATGAGTCCTTAGAGCCTTAGGGTTTGTTTTCAGGACGGGGAGAGGGTTTCGGGTTGGGGAGTGCTATAACTACTGTTTTGATGTGGGTTCGTTAGGGTTTGCAATCGGGGTTTTACAAGGTTTTGACAGGCTTTGATGGGGGTCTGGTCGGGTCGTATTGTGTTTTCTAGGTCTGTCCGGGGTAGAGGCCTTCACTGTTGACGAAATACTTTTACACGGTTGCCCAGAAACTCAAGCCCAAACCCTGAAACCTAAACCCAAAGCATACATGCGAGGTCGAAAAGAGGCAGAACCTGAATCCTTGGTTGAGATTCACAGGGTTCGGGCTTCAGTTCTTCAATGTTTTCGGGTTTACGACGCGGAGCATGGTTTCAGATGCGCACATTAATGCAAGAGCTTCGAAGGTGAGTCGTGCTCTGTTTGTGCATTCTGTACAGACGAACATGCTTATCAATAAACTGAACAACTTGTGCCATCCAGCATGTGACGAGCGAAACGATCCAAATTATTTGTGCCATTGCTTGAGTATGTCAAGTACAGAAAGGGCATGGAGGTAGGGCCTTTGGAAGAATCCCTGCCACCCGGAAACCCAAGAGCCTTGAATCTAGACCTAGCGCACAACCTTGGAAATCCTATCAGGCACCAGTTGCGCGGTTTAGGGGTTCAGGGTGCATTGCGTAATTCTTGAAATTTGGTTCATTCGCTCTCCGACAGCCCGAAATCCCCAAACGCTGAACTGCTTGCCTTTAAGCGCTACACTACAGTAGAAGCCAGAAAGTTGGCATATCATTATCGTAACCCCTTTAAGGTAAATTGTAGGGGATCCTACCATTAATCCATATTCCAACTCTCTGGAGTTCCCTTTAGATCCTAATGCCTAGTTCTTAGAGCACTCTTGGACTTCCCGCTTAATACCGCCTGGCTTTTGTCGGCTCAGGCTTGGGGTTCAGGGTTTAGAGTTTAGGGTTTAGGGGTGCAGGGTTTAGGTTTTAGGGTTTAGGGTTTGGCTTAGGAGTTTAGGGATGTAGGCGTTCGTTGGGGGTGGGGAAGGGTATTCAACAATCAGATACTTGGAGTTCACCTAGGAGGACGTGTAGAGCAGCATTTTGGGCAAGAATATCGTTGTGGGCCTTAGGGTTCAGCGGCGTGCCGGGGTTAAAATCTGGGATGGGTGTAGGTGAGTGGGATATTTGGGTCGATGGTTGTAGGTTCCACCGTTTCTGCCAGCAGTCACGACGTTTGCACACGCATGGAAAGCCAGTGGAAGGATTTCTATTTTAGTGATCAGCTCACATCGCACTTGGGGATATGGGTAGGGCAACTTTGGTTGTGATGACTGACCGCTCCAATGATTCAATGGCGGCCTTCTGGGAAATTAAGAAGTTGGTACTGCATTGGGCTGATCGACCATTCTTCTCGACAAAGCTGGTCTTGTTGCACCCTGGCGGCGGCTTGTGTCCGGGACGTAGAACCACAACTGTTTTCGGCGTTGTTTAGGCGAAACCGTGGAAGGCAACAAGTACTGATGCAAAACATCAATCTCAACGTGTTCGGTGTTTCGGGTGGACTTGTTTCATTTGGGCCTGCCAACAGACCGGGGAACTTCGTTTCGGTGGTTCCCAACTGCTGCCACGGACACACACACACACACACACACACACACAGATCGCGCTCATTCGTATATGATTCTTGTCGATGTTTAAAGCAGTCATGTAACTTGCTCTCATGCGAGGCGTATGAAGGCGCATTGCTCTCGAAAGCGTTTGGAGCCGGAGGAGTTAGAATGTTCCTAGCGTGGCCATGGACACGCAGGGTTCAAGCAGACAGCTGCGCAGGGCTGAGCATACAAGCATGTTTTTGTAGCCGACGAACGGTGTGACTTTACCTTTACAGCACGTAATACATACATCATCTAACCAGATCCTTACTGCGGCCCCAGTCAGTTTTGCAAGTGGGAATGTCGTTGCATGTGTCATCCGGTACATATTCTACTGCTTCATCTGCAGGCTGTGCAACGAGCACATGGACCTGCCATTGCCCCAGTCACAGACACGCATCATTGGCAAATCCAAAACCCGAAGCTTCGACGCACAGCAATCGGGCCGGCAACCCAAAATCGTTCTGTGATTATCTGGAGAGATGGACCACATTTTGGAGAATTTAGCAAATGGGAAACAAACAACTCAGAGGATCCGAAGATGGCTACGTAGCGACCCCAGAAGCACCAGAAATCCCACCATTTCCGGTTTGTCCTATTGATCGCATGCAGCAATGCATTCCTATTAATCGAAACTCCACCATTCCCATGCTTCAGCCCATGGTCCAGGGTTTAGGGATTACGGTTTGAGGATTTAAGGGTTCGAAATTCAAAGTGAAGGAAGCTTGGACTTCAGGTTGTGCAGGCTAGTTTCGAAGCGTTCACGAAAGGCCGAAATGCACGCTTTATTCGGTTGTTTTTGAGTTGAGCCGCGAGGTCCACGTTCATTTCGGTGGTGTCTATTCGTATGTCCCAGCTTTGCGACAGCATCTCGTGGAGGCGGCCTGTTGCACGACGGAAGTTTGGGATGTGGGCATAGGATATCCGGTTTACATTCCAGAACATGGTGTGGGGAAACCGGATGTAGTATGTCGGGATGTGAAACCAAGGATGATTAAAGCCTAAGAAAGAATCGGCTCTGGGTTACGATCGGGAGCTCATGAGACTTGTTGTCGGACATCTCAGAACTTCCTTAAAGTTTGGAGTTATTTTCGAAACCTTGGTTGCCGAGCGTAAAATCCGATCCTAATCCTAACACCCCTATACCTTTATCGGATCCTCAGAGGAATCCTTAAACGAACCATGTATGTGCTTGCGCTGCCAGTTCGTCGAGAGCCTCCGCCGTTTGTCGGCCGACCGGCTGACAACCTCCATCGATGTGCAGGGCCATGAGGCTCTGCAAAAGCGTTTCCTTAAGACTCCAACTTAGGGGCTGAGTATCCTAGCTTACAAAGGGTTAGCCTTTTCAATTATCGTAGGATTATATGGTAAACTACGCACGCAGGTGGCAGGTAATATTCCAACGTAGGTGTTGTTTATCGTATACTTGGAGGCTTTTACCAAGGTTCCCCTTTGGGGGGTTTCTCTAAGGGCACCATCGAAGGAAATGAAGCGAACCCTTTGCGGCGTTGTGCTAGTTTGTAAGGAGTAGTTTGTAATAGGGGTCGCATGTAGAATTTGTGATCGTTCAAGGCATCTGTAAGGGCTTTCGAAACGGTTACTATTATAATTCGATGACTAGAGGTTCAGGGTATATAGGTGTTAAATTTAGGAGTTTGGGCGTATCAGAGGGTGTAGTTGTCTGGGCTTTCAGGTTCTGGGGTTTCTGATTCAGGGTCTAGGGTTGAGGGTCACATGATCGAGGTTTGTGAGGGTGGCTCGTGAGTTTATTGAGGTTGCAAGCCGAACCCGACCTTGTCTGCTGAGGCTTCTGTCTACCACAGGGGCCGTACTAATTGCCAATATTCAATAGTATTTGGGGGGGTTCCTTATTGTACACAAAAAAATGTGCAACAAACCCATGTTCAAATTATTAAGGCCTTAACAGTAGGTTTTCAGAAAAAGGGTCTCCGGGAAAGGCAGACCGAGATCGCTGGTGTGTGTGTGTGTGTTTTTGCTTGTAGTCCTAGTAGCTGAGTAAGTAACCTTTAACCACTCGGGGTTTACATAATCCTACCATAATTGAAAAGGTTAACCTTTTTGGCTAGAATACGCAGCCCCTATAAGTAATTGTAATATTCCTGGCATTGGGGTTGGCTTTATCTAACCAGGGTCCCCTACTTTACCAAATTGCGGAAATCGAAATCCTAAATGCCAGAACTCTAAACCCGAAACTCTTCATCCGTAAAGTACCTCAGCCTAGACCCGTCAAACTTTCGAACCCTAGAGTCCCGAACGGCCGGATGCGAGGCAGAGCAAGTTGCGGGCGCCCGGCTCCCATCGGATGTCGGGATTACTTCTCTGAGATTAGATGTTTCGGATTCGGGGCCGGCTGGGGTTTGGACCTTACTGGTCCCGGGGCACCAGGCGCGCTATTGTTTTCCAAGTTGAAACATGCGCAGGTCTCAGCAAGATCATCGAGGTGAACTTTAAGGCTTGCTGCAGGAAACTGCAATGTGATATGGGGCGATGATTGGTAATTATTATGAGGAGGTGCCAAATTCAGATAAGGATAAGAGTCAGGCTTCTTTTCAATCAAAAATGGAATAAACCACCCAAGCAATAGGACTTTAGGGTGTAGAGATATTGAAGGCACAGAAGCAAACACCTTGAAGACTTGCTACATACAGTAAGACATGCATTCTTCGATACAGACTGGCAACGACATGGTGGCCTCGCCTAGATGACTCCGAGTACTTCACGAAGCTTTGCGACGACCTCTTCCTTCCCGATGGCCTCATGGACGAGCTTGTGGAAATGGGCTTCAACTGGATTGCCTTGCTGGCCTTCGCCAGTCCTGAACCCAGAGAGCCCAATACCCCTTAATTAAGGAATATGGCTTAAATTATGTGGGGCTTCATATTGTGTTTTAAGCCAGTTTAAGCTATATTCCTTAATTAAGGGGTATTGGGCTTTCCGGGAAGCCCCTCTGATCTCAGCTGATGCAGCTGCTCTTTGACGACCGCCATGCCTGCAAATCCGAGTGTGCGGGTGTGCGTCCATCCGGCTCTACTGCCGGCCTGCGCCGATCGTAAGAAGACCCTCACTCATGTTGAAGTGGCCAGCTTATGCAGAAGTTCATGAAAGGGTATCCCAGTGAGCTGATACGGCCTAACATTACACCTTCGTGTCCACTGTTGCTGCTAGTAGTGAGTTATAAGTCGGAAAGTGTACATGTCAGAGGTGAGAAGTAAGTACTATAGGTGGAAAGTGGTAACTAAGAAGTAGGCAGTAAGCTATAGATGGTAGTGATGGTAGTACACCAAGTAGCAAGTAGTAAATAAATACCGGGTATCTTAGCCAGGATCGTATTTTTGATGGTAGCTGTTACCACACAGCCCTAGAGCAACGAGCCCCCTACGCTAAGAGCCCTAAACCCTGAACCTTCGAGCCCCGCAAATCCCGCCGGACAAGGTCTGCGATTTGCTTCAGCAGATCGACCTCTTCAAAGGCAACGAGAAGGAGGTGCTTTTAGCGTTCGGTTGAAGCCTTTACCGGTTTGTGTGAGTATTTCTCATGCTGTCAGGGTTGTTCTGAGGGCTTTGAAATTGAAAATGAGGGCTGTGCAGGTTCGTTTCGTGAGTTTAGGGTGCAGGGCTTCAGGTTTAGATGGTGGCGGCTTTATGGGGATTTCAGGTTTAGTAGGCGCCGGCTTGGGCGAACTGGACGAAGCTGAAAGCGAGAGGCTGAACAAACGGATTGAGGCCAATTCAGGCTGTAGGGTTGGTGGTAGGTTGTCGCTTCTCACACAGGGGAGCATCAATAGTTGCTAAATAGATAGAAGTTCGAAGACGGTGAAAGCAACTCGGGGGATCTCAGCGGTGGTACCACGGCAGAGGCAGAAGGATAGTGTACGTCAGGATGTTTCAGCAGCTTATACTCTAAGTAGAATTAGAGCCTACCAGCACACAACAACATAAGAACGGCCCGTTTAAAAACCGTCTAGGTTCCTGACTAGTACCCTTTTGCCCTTTCCATTAGGGTCCCTTATAAAAAACAGAATAGGGTACCCTTACTTGAAGAGGAATTATCCAGAAACTTAACCGTATCAGTTTACATCCAAACACCCCCCGCTTGGAGGTTCATGGGCAGTTATAAGCGGGGCTTTAAGCCCCCTAATACGGGTTATAAACTATAGTTACCCTACTTATAGCCCCAGCTATATCTACCCATGAACCTTCCAGTAGACCCTAAACCCTATACCCTTATAGAATCCCTATAAATCCGTTCAAAGGGACTAGCCCTAGCTATATCTACCCATGAACCTTCAAGGCGGAAGCCATTTGCAGAGTCTCTGCTCCTGAGTCACTGGCCAGGCTGAGTGAAGGCCGGAATGCTTAGTAATACTACGGCTGATGATATAAATCCTGCATTACCCATAATAAGGAATAGACCATAATTCCCATAGCCTAGGGTCCTTAAGGTAATGCAGGAGTTATATCATCAACAGTATGCGCTAAGGTTCCTACCCTATGCTCCCATGGATCTTATTATTGGGCCAAGGGTCCTTAAGGGGTCTAGTGCCCTACTATTTTATAAGGTCCTTGGAGGCATTGGGCTTGTTATCGGTAGAGCAGAGGATAATACACCCCAGAACCAAAATCTAGTCCTGGAGGCCGCTGCAACATGTCCCCTAAACCCTAAACCCTAAACTCGGAATTTGATTGTCTTATCGGAAGTTCATTGTACAGGGTGTGGGCAAGGCTTGGGATGTAGCAATGTCATGGTGCAGGGTTTCTGCTGCCTGGAATTGCAGCTTAATCCTAAGACTCCAGATAGCTAGCCCAAAGTGTTTTTTGTAGACTTTAGATTCCACTGTAGGTGCTATATGGGTGGTTGTCAAAATTAGGGTCCCTTTTTGGGTACCCTAAATATTAGGTGCCGTATTATATTCAGGATCCAAAAGGGACCTAATTTTGACAACCACCCACACGTGTACTTGGAGTTTCGTAGGGAAGCTTACGGCTTCTTCCCGAATCGTCACTGCGAGCAGCCGATCCTAACCCTAAACCCTACCTGGACCCCAAACTATCGTGACGTCTTGATGTGGGTGGTTGTCAAAATTATGGTTCCTTTTGGGGTGCCTGGTATAATACGGTACCTAGTATTTAGGGTACCCAAAAGGGGACCCTAATTTTGACAACTAGCCATGTAAGTCCTGAAGCCGGGTGGTCCTCTTGTCGTTTTTTTCGATGCTGGACTCCTAAGTCTTTCAGCTGTGTTGCAAGGACTTGCATCACGGAGCGTTCCGCATGCCACACTAAGATCCGTGGTTTAGGGTTTTAGGGTTTCGGGTTACATATCCTCACCAAGCCTTAAGCCCTTATCTGCTTAGGGCGCTTCTTTTGATCGAGGAGACGGGTTAACACACCGAAGGAAGTAGCCGCAGTGGAGAGGACAGGCTGGTCCTGTCTGAAGTCTTACCCAAAGGGTCCAAGTATCATTATGGTATATACTCATAGGTATTTGGGGGTTTAAGTATATACCAGAATGATACTTGGACCCTTTGGGTTATATTGCCTGAATGACTGCTAATATGATTCCCCAGAGATCCTCTTTGCAGTATATTCAGAGCCCTGTACTAAACCCTTATTGACCCCTACAGCAACCCTTGTAGATCTAATCATGAAGCCCTATACTTAAGGGTGTGGGGTTCTATAAGGCTTCTGGGGGCCTAGGCCGAGAGTCCTCAAGAAACCCTAACGCGCTAAATAAGCCAACAGCCGCCAATGTTTGACGAACGTCCTCGGAAGCTTAGGGTAGGTTATGGTAGTTATTATGTCAGTTTAAGCTTCAACGGTTTAGGGTTAAGTTTTTATGGATGTTTAAGTTTCACGGGTTAGGTCAGCCCTGAACCCTACCTTAAACTACTGAAACCTTCATTTTCGTCGGATCCCTGTCCATTTCATGTGGGGTTCATCTATAGCCAGCACCTACGTTTCTGGGGGGTCCTTAAGAGGTCTAGGGCCCTGACTGTAAAAGGTCCTTGGAAGCTGACTGTAGGTTATGGCAGTTATTCTGGTAGTCATTATAGTACTTTTATTTAAAAAGTGCCATAGTCGCAAACTTTTTATGGTAGCTAAAATGGTATAGTTGTAAGGGTGCTATAGTAGCTCTTATGGTCTTATGAAAGTTATTAGGTTGCTTTTTCTTGTAGTTTAAGTATGAAGCTTGGGAGTGCAGAGGCGGCCGCGCGGCCGTCATCACCCGCGGCGCTGGGGGAGACCCGAGCTCATGTAGGGTTTTTATGTGGTTTAGGGATGTTTAGGGGTTTTGGGTTTATAGAGCTTTAGGGTTTAGGGTTTAGAGGATTTGGGGGTTTAGGGGTTTAGAGGTTTATGGGTTTAGGGGTTTAGGGTTGATAGGGGTTTAGGGTTTACAGGTGGGTTTAGAGTTTGGGGAGGTTCTAGGTTTCGCATCTAATTTTTGTGGTAGTAATTGCGGCTGCTAAGGGTCCGCGGATGCTTTGTGATGCATATTGCGGGTGGAATCAAGTGTTTAGGGTTTCGTTTGGATGGGCACAATCAATGGAGTGCACCTGTGGAAGAAAGTTTGGGCCCTGGAATTTGTGTCCGGGCCGCTTTTGTCCGAGCTCATCTATGCAGCCGTTTCAGCGTTTCAATGTGCTATTGTAGGAACCCGATTAAGAAACCTTGAGTCTATAACCTCAAATAGTAGGGCTCATATAAGGAACCCTAATAAAGACCCAAGGTTTCCTAATTATAGTAGGTTCCTACATTACTCTATGCCAAGCAGAAGCTTCGTCATACAGACCCTGAGGAACGGGTTCCAAACTGACCAAAGATGCTTCAAAGAGGCTGCCCACATCCCTCAATTCCGGCCGTAAGCTCTCCCCACACCCTCAACCACACTTGGAGCTTCTTTGTAGATGTAGGTGGGGTTACAAGCCCCTTAATATAGGCACTCGCCGCCCCGAAAGGTCGTGCAATTCAGGGAACCCATGTAACTGGCACTGTGGTTTCGGCACAAAGAGGCCTACAGAAGACATGTTTCCTGGCACTGCTTGTGGTCATAATTTTGCATGCCATGTGGGGGCATGGTAAGTGAGAGGCACAGCAATGCAAGACGGAAGGCAGTGGACAAACGGAATCAAGCCCCCCACTCCCCCCCCCACCGGCAAGCGAGAAAACCCCGACAACACCGCGAACAACTTTAAGAGCACGAGTCATCAGGTTTTGGCCACGGATGCTCTGCCGTTCCCAAATCGCAACGCATCATGGACGTGATTAGGCCATTAGGCTTTGGCCATGAATGCTTTGCCTCCGAAACAACAATCTCGTCACCGAAACGGTCCCCGTGTTAGACTTCCGCAAGACAACCGATGTGCAGCCATAGGCTCCATAGTAGTTCCTTTTTGGGATTATCTTATAGGGCTCCAAAAAAAAACCCAAAAGGAACTACTATGGAGCCCCAGGACAATACCCACATCTCTGTCACGACCAAGGCCAAGGCGAACAACGGCCGCAACCCCCCAATGACGACCTCACGCCTTTTTGCGCCCGACGAAGACAGCTTTGAGCAGAAGCAGAAACTGTTGTAATTAACTACACCGCTGTCTGCCTTTTCGACAACATCATGAACCAGAAAAGCTGTAAATTACAGCGTTTGGAGGACCCCTCCCGTTTCCACCACAAGCGCCAAACGTAATCGACCCTCCCAAACCCCACCCGGGTGAAAGGTGCACACGTTTCGGGGCGGCGAGTGGCGTAGACGGCTATATTTACCCATGAACCTCCAAGTTACCCTATACTGCCACTTACTCCAAGACGAGAGGAGCCGTGTGGGTGGACAGTGCCGGGACGCAAGGGAAGACTCAAGCACATCGCGTCGAAGTGAAGGTGGGATCACTTCAGGGACCGGGTGCTTCAAATATGCTTATAGGGTTTAGGGCTTTGTAAGGTTTACGAAGTCTTAGTGCTTCAGGCTTGAGGTTTCGGGCTGTATATCAGTATGGTTTTGGGCTTAAGGCTTAAAGGATGCAGGGCCTATCTATCTTGGACCCAAGCAGTGTAAGGTTTCACTACCAAGCACCGTACACTCGGAAACTATCTGGGGATTTGGACCTCGAGGGGAGAGATTCAGCAAACCGAAAACCACAAAAATCGACGGAGTTTCGGGTTTTGAGTTTCAAAGCGCTTAAGTTTCCCGAAGTCACCCAGCGTACTTGCCCTAGAGAGTTTGTACTTCCGAGTGTTGGGTTCGGAAGTTTTCTTGCAGAGCACATGTAGCCATATGGGAGCTTCCGAAAATTAGGGGCACCATATTTTGGGGTCCTTATAATAAGGATCCTACTATTTAGGGTACTGCATTAGGGCCCCTTTTTTCGGAAACCCCCCAATAGGATATACTGCGGCCTTCAAGTAGTTAGGGTTTAGAGTTCAGGAGTTCGGGGTTTAGATGGGAGATTCGACACTCCTTTTCGCTACTTAAAGGGAACTCCAGAAAGTTGGACTATGGTTTCATGGTAGGATCCCCTATAATTTACCACCAAGGGTTTAGGATAATCATGTTACAACTTTCTGGCTTTTACTGTAATGCCGTTCCTCAAAGCAGCTCGCGGCCCTTGAGCCCGAGCCTGAAATGCTCTATGCTGCTTCATAATTAAAGTAGGGTGTTGGGAGGGTTCCCTGATAAACGGGTCTATAAGGGTTACAATAAGGGATCTATATAAGGGTACTTCAATATGGGGAGTATAGTATACTATATTTGTATATGATAAGGGACCACCAAAATTATATAGGTGATTAAGGGCCTTCTGCATTTTACAGCCTGGAAGTGCAAACTGTAAAGCCTGTGCGAGTTTAGCTGGGACATAACATGAAGACCGAACTTGAGGAACAGGCTTGAAAGTCTCTGAGCCAAGATTAAGCTGAGCATACCTTCAAACCTTACCCTAGTAATGCTCCTGGACCCTCGTAATGAGATCCCAAACCTTAGCCCCAAAGCCCAAACCCTCGCCCACACAGCCCAAGACCCTCTTTGGAGCCTTATAGGGTAAGCCCCCCTAAACCCTAAACCCTTAACCCTAAACCCTAAACCTTATAAACCCTAAACCCTAAACCCTAAACCCTAAACCCTAACCCTAAACCCTAAATCCTAAACCCTAAACCCTAAACCCTAACACTAAAGCCCTCGATCGCTACAAGGATCCGACCGGCGCCGGGGATGCCTTTGCTGCAGCCTTGCTCGCTTCCTGGGTGTCGGGGCCTCACGACAGATTCAGTGGGATAAGCCCGTCGGGTTTAGGGTTTAGGGGTTAGGGTTTGGGGTTCGGGTGTTCTGGTTGGTCTTAACTTCTCTGTTTTCTGACAGCTTGTTTTGCTTCTTCCTCCATGCTCCCTGTGCGTGTTCAATGGTTTCCCCTCCGTGTTTCTTGTTGTTTGTCCTCGTTTCAGCTTTTCCTGTTTCTTGTTTACCAACAGAAACCACCGATTCTCTCTCTGATTTCCTTAAAACTGTTCGTGGTACTAGCCTTATTCCTAGGTTTCGGGCGGTGTTCACATGGATCCTGCCAGCTAGGTCTGGCTTCCCTATAGTTCTCAGAGAGTTCATGTTGTGTACTCCCATTTGTTGACTGTGTTTCCCATTCCTAGCTGGCGGGGCATGTTATGTCCATGTCGATCTGATGTCATCTGTTTTTGTTGTAGGGTTGTTTGCTAGTTTCCTGTGGTTGCTATTCTCGTCCTAATTCCTGCAGCTCCTGAAATCGTGTTCTCCCCCCACTTTGCAACTGAATGAGAATATCAAGGTTGCTCCAGCATCTATCAAAGCCACTGAACACACACCCTGAATGTGGATCCCTGGTCGTATTCGACAGCTGCCCTCCATACTTAAGGATTACAAGACGGATGACACCTCAAGTTCGGGCCGTTGGAGTGTAATAATTAATCAGACCTAGTAGTAGAGTGGGTAACCTTACTTTAACCTTTTTGGGGTAGTATACTACTATCCCTATATAGTCCCTATACAACCAAAAAGGTTAACCTTTAGTTCCCCATGATACCCGACAAGTAGACAGCGCTCCCCAAGAAGGGTGGCTTAGCAGCCCGTCTCACTTCGGCTGAAGGCTGAGAGCTGAGGGCTAGGATGGTCTTGGGGACGTAGGCTTTTCTTCATGGAAGTATCTCACAACTTGTTATGACTAGGGCTTGATTTCGTACACGTGCTTAAGATGGGGGGCCTTAATAGTTAGAATAGGGTTATAATATTAGTATAATGGCCCCCAAACCCTATTCTAATTATTAAGGCCAATCTATTATCTTGTCCTTCAGCCCTCAATTGTATCTGCACTGCGAAACCGTAACCACAGTGCAGGTGCGGCGAGCCAATGGCAGACGCTGTAGCGAAAGGCCCGGGTGGGTCACAATGGTTGTGGCACGAAACTCTGAGCCCCAAGCCCCTGCGTCCCACACTTCAAAGACTGTTCGGAGATCAGAGTGCGGCTAAGGCTTAGGTTCATAACCCTTAAACCTTAAACCCCGAACCCATAGCGCTTAGGAGTGAGCCCTTTGATTTGAGTCTGTTTGCATCGGGTCTTGTGGCTGAGAACTGCTTGCATTTGGTGGTCCCAGTCGCCTTCATTTCAATTCATGCAACTTAGCATTTTGGAACACGCAGCACTCGAGGGATGCTTGCTTTCGCAGACGATGATTCTTCGAAAGCAACTCCTCCATTTGCAGGCCCCGCAGAAATTGAAACCATATGACGACCTGCTCACCAATTGTTCCAATCTAAGCCAGCAAGTTAGAGAGAGTGGATGTTGTTGAACTTTGCATGATACTCACTGTCCTGGATCTTCCGATTGGCTAGACTTAGACCTTCTAGCCTTAAGACCCGAACCCTAAATGCTACTTCCTACGACCCTAGAGGGCCCGACACCCTAAAGCAGAAGCAGTTACCCAAAGCCTAAGCCGGGTCCATGTACTCAAATAGTAAATAGTGTATACTTTGGCCCCCAAGTACCTATATAGGGACTACTTTAAGGCCAGAGTATATGCTATTTGGGTACGTGGACCCCTAGAGTAAGCTTAAATCACAGTAAATAGAACAGCAGCTTCAACCCCTACGCCCCAATCCTGAGGCTCAAACAAAGTAGCCTCGTGCAGTCGGGTCCTTGACCCTGAAACCACCCTTGTAGCCTCAGGATTATGAGTGAACTTGCGAAGGTTGCGCCGCGGGCGCGCTGAACTGCGAACGCCTCGGGGGCTGCGAGAGGCCGCTTACGGCCGTCAGCGCCCCAGTTTAGTCCATGCAGCGGCCGTGGGTTATGGGGGTTAGGGGGTTTAGGGTTTAAGGTTTAGGGTTTAGGGTTAGGGCTGCGTTTAGGGGCTAAGGTTCAGACTTTGGGGGGTTCATGTTGTGGGTCTCAGACACGGGCTTTGGGCACATGTGGGGGAAGACTCGGTGCAGCATTACAGGGGCTGTGAGGTGCTAAGGTTTGTCAACGTTTCCAGTGTAGACAGGGGCCTGAATAATTAGCGATACTGTTTTGGGGATTCCTTTTTACAATTACCGTACAGTGGGCCCCAAAACCCCATTCTAATTATCAAGGCCCTATATCAGTGGCCTGGAGGTTTTGTGGCTGCAGAGTGGGCGCGGTTGCACGGGTCTCGAATCGGAATGTTCTTCGTCGGAATCGCAGCTCACTGCAATAGCTGCTTTCCCCAAACCTTCGGGTGTGGGGCTTCGGTTTGAGAGTTTCGAGTTCAGCCTCATCAAGCCCGTAGAAACGATGTCTTTGGGACTTTTATTGGGGCTTGGGGATTACAGTGGCCTGCAAGCCCTGTGTTCGACAGAGAGGCCGGGAATTCCGGAACTCCGCAACCTAACACATAACACACCGCTAAAGTCGGGGTAGAGGGTTAGCCGTTTCAGGTTTGGGGCTTTAGTGTTCCGAGTCCGTAGGCGTTTGGAGCTTGGTGTCCCGACATGGGGGCTTAGGGAATTGGGCAAACATGCTCCACACAGAGAAAGTGAAGCACTTACCATCGAATCACTAAGAAAAAGCCTCATCCTACCTGTAGTCTCTAAGGTAGTTTCTTTTTGGGTTAACCAGTTTCGTATGCAGGATCCCATGCCAGGTAAACCCAGATAGGAACTATTATGGAGACTATAGCTATTTTGCAACCGCTGTCAGGCAGAAGTCGACGCATTTATGGCCGCGGGCCATCCGATCTGAGACGGTCAAAAAAAGCGTGGTCGTCAGGGGTGATTCCTTCTAAATCAGGTCCTGTAGGAGCCGGTCTTAGAACGGTATCCTTATTGAGCATGAAAGAACAAACAAGAGTACCCTGTCTTTTTAAGGGATTGCTGGGGCTCGAGTTGAGGGTGCCCTGACCTACATCAACACCAGAACAGACGGAAAGCAATCGTAACCGATGTGCGTAGTCCCTCCTCCCGAAACCGCTCGAGCCACACAAGCTTGTGGCACCCGCAGACCCAAAAAGCCCCCAACCCCCATATTACTGGGAGAGGTCTTGTTTGATTGAGGGGATTGACGGGTTCGAGAGACTTGAGAGATTTCTTGGCAGTCCTGGACAATTATACCACATTAAAGACCAAGCTTTAATTCAAGTGTGTCGGCGACTATACCTGTGTTACTCGCTTCGGGCATGGGTTGTTACGGTTTCACGTCTACAAATTGCCTGCCGGGTTGTGTCTGCGGTAGTTTACCCCGATGTGCTGTAGGATAACAGGACTTCCAGCAAGCAGTTTCTACCTTTTGGACATTTGGGAGTTTCCCATAAGCCCTCCATACCAGGTTACCACTCCTATAACGGGGTCTTATGGGAGTGCTCTGGAGGAGGAACTACCAAGTACCCACCTCCAAGGGGCTT